GCATGAATACCAAAGTATCTGTTTCCACAATCAGCTTGGAGCTGCTTTGGCACTAGATCTCTTAATGCATTTGTCCTTTCAGGTGTAGCCGAGTCACCTCTGATGACCTGGGGTGAGATCGAGAGCACACCATTTCGTCTGGATGGATCAGACACCCCGTATGTTGAGAGGAATCATGGACCTTCTTTTAAGGTGCTGAGAATTTACCGGTGGATTGATGGTTAATTTGTAATTGTTTAAGTAAAATAGTTGACTTTAATTACCTTTTGTTAAAGATCCCAGAACCAGGGAGACGAGAAAGGCTTGGTTTAAAGATGGCCAACGAGGCTGCCGCTAAGAACCGTGCAAAGAAACAGGAAGCGTTACGAAAAGTCACAGAAAACCTTGCAAGGTATTGATGCTCACTGCGTCTGTCATTTCATTTCCACCAGAATTAAAGTTGTGAAGTCTTGAAGAAATGAAACTAACATTATATTCTTTGTCTTGCAGCCTGACGCCTAAAGGTTTGAGCCCGGCCCTCTCACCTGCCCTGCAGCGGCTCGTAAATCGGACTTCCAGTAAATACACAGACAAAGCACTGCGAGCAAGTTACACCCCATCACCCTCACACAGACTCGCTGCATGCAAGTCTCCCTTCGGGGGCCCGGCGACTCCTTCGGGAACGCCAACGCCAAACAAAGCAAAGACTCCAATTTCTCAGGACGTCACGTCGCTCACAGACAATCTGCTGCAGCTTCCCAAAAGACGGAAAGCATCAGACTTTTTCTAAGAGCAGCACCTCTCTGCTTGGATTGTACAAAAAAAGACTTAATATATACATTAAAGAGCACATCATTTTGCTGGAGGACTGGAAAAAGAAATAAATGGTGGAGTAGAGACTGTAAAAACTTTATGCACTAAAATGCAACAAAGGTCATTGTAGGTCCAAGAGAAATAATTTGAATGTCTGAATTCTATTTTGATTTTATTGTCTTTATCTCGCATACAAGGGTTTTTGTTTTTTTTAAACAGCTCCTGCTACTCTAACAGACTGACATTCTCAACATGGGAATGCTGTCAGAACTGATGGTAAAGGGACCTTTTTTTTTTTTTTTAACTTGCCGCAGATTTAAAGTGTCACTCTGTCAGTTGTGTGCATCCTAGTTAAAGTTAACATTTTATTTGATCTAAGTATGTTTTATCTCAAAGAAAAAGGTGCTTGTGTAGAGTTGCCACACACTTTTCGTGTCCATATGTCCATTTAAAGAATGAGTGGCCTGACTAAAAAAAAAAAAGATTTTTCCAATGTTAGCGATTCCTTTCTTGTGCAGGACAGCACTAAGACATGGCAGAGACAATATTTAAATTTAAAATAAATAAAGCCAATACGAAACTTCAGTCAAGTAGTTATGAAAGCTTGTCAACATTTCAAGTTGCTATCTCAAAGTTTTGATTACGGATGGCAAAAAAAGTTTTGGGTTTTTTGTTCAGTGGTGGAAAGGAGCTTCCATAAGTAGGTGTCATCTGACAACACAACTATTTTCGTACAAAGGTCTCACCTGTTTCCCCTTACCTCCATCATTTTTTGATGGAGGTAAGGGTGAATAATAAAACATCATTATTGTTTCAGCTGAATTTACTCCTTTTTAATAAGCTACTGACTCTAAATGATGTTGTATTAAAGTGGGAAGAGATTGCATTCAGTGTCTGTGTTGTCTGAAAGAATAATTACACTGATCATTAAGTCTTCTATTGCACAAACAATGTGATTTATTTTAAATGTAAGCTTCTTCAGTTCAATTCAAGTTTATTTATATAGCGCCAAAACACAACAACAGTTGCCTCAAGGTGCTTTACAGTAAAAACCCTGCAGTAGTTTTGGAGAAAACCTCAACAATCAGATCAAGTCAGGTCCCCTGTGAGCAAGCACTAGATGATTGTGGGAAAACTCCAGTTTACCAGGAAGTGACCTCTGTTTGGATCAGGCTCAGGGAAAGGTAGCCATCTGCCCCAACCGGCTGGAGGGGTTAAATGGGAACTTAAGTAAGATTCATAATAGCTTTAGGACAAGGTTTGTCATCCACATTCCACAAACTTCATCTAGACATGTTCCAAATGTCTGGCACGATTTAGTGTTGTTGGGTTAAACTACAGTGGGGCAAAAAAGTATTTAGTCAGCCACCGATTGTGCAAGTTCCCCCACTTAAAATGATGACAGAGGTCAGTAATTTGCACCAGAGGTACA